GTTTCAAGGAAGTCCAGGTGCCATCCTGTTCTTGAATAACCGCGCGAGTCTATAGAATTCCCGGCTCTGTACTCAAAAAGATCTATCTCTATGTGGTCCTTAAAGATTGTGTGAGCGTGTACTAAGGATACGGTCATTGCAATTCGAGGGATAGTGTTATAATAGTTACGATGAGGTTAGATTATTATATTTCTTGCAATCTACCTTTTTATACAGTCTATACGTGGTATCGATTGAAATGTTACAACACTACACTGCAATCGATTGTAAGGACTTCCGGATCACATTGTGCTGAGCTGTTCTCGCACATCTGTGTCTACTCCTAGTATACTAGGTTCGCTCGGGTTCACTTCTCCTGACGGGGTCCAATAGGTAGAGTCCTGTTCGATCCACTATCGCCGCTCGCCTTTGAGTTGTCACGAGGAGGAGTTAATTGAAGTGATCCTGATAAATGTATGCGTGTAGGTTTCACTCACCGGGAATTGTGCGTTCCACCCGAGTCCTCCGGGCGACCTTTCGGTGTCGTCGCGTATCTATATAGGAGTTATAGTCGTGCTGTAACGCGTGGTCTCTTATACTAGACCGAACATTTGAGAATATAGAGAATTCTGTATCTAGGTAGTAACAGACCGATGTATACGTGCGTACCAGGGCACAGGAGAACAGCTCTGCTGTGTATTAAGTTTCGATTAGTTCTAGAGTTATCTTAAGTTTTCAGCTTATCACCTCAGAGGTGTTACCGAAGTTCAGACGTGACGTAAACTTAGGCATTGGGATACGTAAGGGTCACAATGTTTTCGGTGGGGGGGGGAAGTTGGGTGGTGGTGGTGTAGGAGAGGGGAAAAAAGCGGGTTGGGCAAAACGTAATAGAGATATTGAATCAACGAGATACAAAACTGAGGAAGACAAGTTACTCTACAAAAACAGTTGCCATCGTTGTACACGCACGTGAAATCGTGTTAAAGGCGGCGATCTAGGTGTAGAAGATTTTTCTCAAGACGTACCGTCGTGTTCACTATACAAATTGAGCATGGGGCAGCTCACTGACAGCGACCAATCACAGGACGCGCACACTCACACACACTACACACGCCACACAGGCTTCCTACCGTCTCTCTCTATGTTTGGTTCTGCTCGGACTGTCTGGACCCGACTGTTCGCTGCCTGCGTTTGAGAACGGTTCACGTGTCTGTAAGGACAGGCTAGTGACTTGACTATGTGTTTCTGTGCGCGTGCGTGTTATCCTACTTCTATGGTCTTCGCAGACCTCCAGAAGTACAAAAAAAGTTTTTAGTACACTAAACCTAATACAGTCAAAGTTAGCAAAAGTGTACAGTTTGTTCATCATGCCAGACATCACAGGCAGGTCGTAAGATGTAATTCTGACGTACGGATCTTTTCACAAACGCCACGAGACATTTAGGCCTTGTAAGTAAAGTATGACAATTCGTCGGAAGTGTAAAGATCTACCTGATTGTGTCGTAAAGTTCGATAGAATGGGAGACATCCCGTTCGTTTCTGTGTTCAAGCATCGACTGGGTAAGGCGGGCTGACAGTGACCGTCATTGGTAAATCAATCTAATTAACTAAGTTCTCGTAGAACGTCCAATACATAAAAAGGTATCGCTTAACTCCGAATTGACGAACGTTTCCAAAGCGTTATCTACCATTACTTTGCATTGATTACTTTTCAAAACATTTCATTTTTATTCACGGTTGCCTTTTTATTTGTCTATGTAGTTCTTTCCTCGTTTATCTACGGCGACAGGTAACGTTTGCCGAAAAAAATATCGCAGTCATCCTAGTATGGTCAATAGTTTACTTAGTGTGTCGTGTCAGTTTCAAGATGTCAGGACCATTACCCCATATCATAACATGTATAACTTATCAGCCATACACAGTGAATTCAACACTCGATGACGACTAAAGTAGCTCATTTATTTGTTAACATATAACTTTTGCGAATAAGCTAACCGACCATAACAGTCTTAAAAACATCGTCGAACGCTGTTGTATATGGTCTAAGGAGAAGTTGCATGTATTACTGTGTGTCATTTTTTATTGGCCTGAACTGAAGCTAGAGACTATGCAACAAGTAGTAATGGTCTAGTGAATGAGAGTGCACTAAATTCTTTCCTTTGGACTAAGTGCATTCGATTTGAGAGGGTGTTTAGCTTGTACGGACTAAGATAGTTGTCGGATGTCGTTCTCGTAGGACACTGTGTAGACGTCGCATTCTGTAAAATCACGGAACATGTCCCTTCACGGAAATATTATTGCGACCAACCCACTGATTGCTGACGAGGTAACGGTTGAGTGATGTACCAAACAAACTGAAGACAGAGGGGAACAGAGACAACGAAAACGCACGCGCACCACGACAGTAGACGCCGCAGGCAGTAGGAGGGTGATTGGACCATCTAGACGACTACGTCGGGAGTGTTTTAGTGTGTGACGAGAGGTAGTTCCGTAAAGTTATGTATTGCGATATAATTCTCTAGTGATGGGATTCGAGGCGGGTTAGCGACGTCTTGATTGTTGCAAGACAGAGAGCAAGGCCATGTGTCCCTGAAGTATCACACTCAACGTATGCGCATAGTCTAGTGCCGACTATGAAACGGCGCTAGGATCAAAGACAATCTACCTAGTCATAGTGCGTGTGGTATTGCAAGGAACTAGTAGACCTCACGAGAATCATTACTCTGACTATGTTAACTATCGATTGAAATGTTACATCGCCGAACCGCAATCGCCTTGTAGTACCTTCGATTGCGTCAGTGAGGATTCTATGCGACGGGGTCATAGAGTGACCAAGAGGAGGTGCTGTCGATTAAAGATGAGGCTATACCGGCGAATTAGCGAAACAGTCTAGTAACGAGTACGAGAGATTATGCGAGTTGTCCGAGTATTTATACTGACACAGCGTGTCGTACGCTTTCTGTACAAGTTGACTATGACACAGTTTCATCGTAACGTGGCTAGGTACCAACATGACAATCATCCAGTGTCGGCCCGGCGAGGGAACCAAGGGGCACATGCAGTGTGCGCTCTATCCAGCGACGTTGTACAGGAAAAAATAAACACTGCTCACTTGTACAAGAATGTTTTTGCTCGCCGAGGTCTACAGTTCATATAAATCTACGTGTACACAGTGTCTATTTCAGGTAGTCTTATAACTGCGGTTTAGATCTCAGGCCAACGCACCTAAAATTAAATCCGGAAGTCCTATCGAAATATTACAGGGTACTTTAGACCTGGGCTAGCGACATATAACGAACGTGCCGGTGTGGAAGTGAGGTAGGAACTCCCAGAGAGTCGAGTCTCGGGACTCGGCGTTGTAACTACTGGAACGGTGGGTTCCTACTCTACGGTTCATAGACTTGATCGGTAGTGTCTCGGTCGTGTGACTCAAATTAACCTACAAAGAGAAAGACGTTGCAGAAGAGAGAGTCGCAGTTGTCCCGTACAAACCAAAATAGAAACCGCCTCCGCTTTATCAAAACAAACTTCGACAAC